TCGAGCCCCAACCCCGGGCCTGGCTCCAGGGTGGGGCCCCGGCTGCGCCATGCCGGGCAACGTCACGGTCCTTGATTTTAATCTATTCATAAAGGGCTTTTGAACTGCTCTTAGTCTGACCCGTCACCCAGGACCTGTTTGCCTTGGGAGACCCTACCAGGGACATATAGCCCCCGACAACATAGCTCCTAGGATCACTCGGGTACTCAAACCCCTCCACCACAATAAGGTGGCGGTTCAAGGAGGGGGAGCAATCATCCACAGATGATTATTTATTTTTTATCTTTGTCATTCTTAAACACAAAGACAGCAGCATTAAAGGTATTTCTTAAAAATAAGCAATCATCCACAGATGATTATTTATTTTTAAGAAATACCTTTAATGCTGCTGTCTTTGTGTTTAAGGATGACAAAGATACAAGCGCTTGAATGGTGAACATTCATGAATGGAGTGGGTCTAAATGGACTGTAGTTAGTAGAGGGAGATGACAGGCGCATTGCCCCGTTCAGAACAGTCCCAGGCGCATCTCCCAGCATCTGTCAGATGACAGCTGTGCATTACACTTTAATGGACATGGGCAAGCAATAGGCTGAGAACCACAACACAGCCACATTGCTCTTTATCTAAAAGTAACCCAGTTAGACAGTTAAACTGTGAACATTGGTTAGTGTTTAGTGTTTCATTTTGTCAGTTTTCATGGTCTTCAATGAATAGTCCCTCTTTAAGAATGTGGCTGTGGCTTTGCTGCATGTATGCGATGCAGGAATGACACGAAGAGTTGCGTAGATAACTTAGGTTAGCATAAAGGACGGTGTTGTGTCGAGATCTGTTTTCCCATTGAGAAACACTCAGTGGTTAGCGTTGCCTCACAGCGGGTTCGAGCCTGCGAGCCCCGGTGCCATGTTCTCCCTGTGGCTGCATGGATTCTCTCCGGGTACTCCTGCTTTCTCCCGCAGTCCAAAGACATGCAGCTTATGTTGACTGGCGACTCTGATTTGCTTGTAGGAGTGAGTGAGTGTGGGTGTGGTTGTCTGTGCGACTTGTCCAGCGTATACCCTGCCATGTGCCCAATGTCAGCTTGGGATAAAAATTTATCCCAAGAGAAACTTGGGTTTCTGAATGACTTTATAAAGAATTTTAATTTGGCACTGCATTTTATCTAAAAGTACTGTCATAGCATCCGTCATGTACTCTGGACTACAAGTTATAAAACGACTGTGTGCCATTTCAGAACTGTAGTGAGCGCTTCCAGTACAAATACCAGCTGCGTTCCCACATGAGCATCCACATTGGACACAAGCAGTTCATGTGCCAGTGGTGCGGAAAGGACTTTAATATGAAACAGTACTTTGATGAACACATGAAGACACACACTGGTAAGTCACCTCTTTGCGCTTTTATTGTTCAAGAGTGTTGAGTCACCAAAGAGTAACGTGCGTATTAAATCATAAGTATATTTTTCAGCTCTGTCTGCGCCCCTCTTTCTGCAGGAGAGAAGCCATACATCTGTGAGATCTGTGGGAAAAGCTTCACAAGCCGACCCAACATGAAGAGCCGTACATCTGTGAGATCTGTGGGAAAAGCTTCACAAGCCGACCCAACATGAAGCGGCACCGCCGCACCCACACTGGAGAGAAGCCCTACCCGTGTGAGGTGTGTGGCCAGCGCTTCCGCTTCTCCAACATGCTGAAGGCCCACAGGGAGAAATGCTTTCGCATCAGCAACCCCATGGTTGCCGACAGCAACGACCCCCTGGGCCTCAACCAGCCTTTGGCCTCGTCCATGGACTCTTCCAGTCAGGTCCAGCTGGGGATGGCACTCCCTGGCACGTCTGTGACCACGCCCACTGCTGCCTCTAGCCCCCACCACCTCCACGGCACCCAGCTGTCTCTCCCCCTGCTGCACTCCATGGGGGGGATGCCTCCCACTTCAGATTTACCCCCACCACCTCCCCTGTTCTCTGCCGGTAGGATGAACTCCAACAACTAACAAATCTCTGTAGCATTTAAAGCACTTTGTTACTTGTTGTTTTTCTTTGAGCATTTAAGAGGACTCCTGCAGCAGGAGAGCGATGCACCTCAGCTGCATTTACACAGAGGGAAAACCTTAATGACGGCTTCATGGAGGCCTCATAAAAACACACGTACGTATATACTTATTTTTTACTCTGTTGAATTCAGCAGGTAACCTCATAGCCCAGTTGGATATTTTGTCGTCACTCTTCACACAACTCTGTCCTGGTTTCATTTGGGATTTTCCAACACCGCACACATCTCTCCAGATCCTGCACATTGAATTGATTGTAGCATCTTTTACAGAATGGGAGAAAGAGTTCCATAAATCTTCACCCTTGGAGAGGGTCATCAGTCGAGTGAGAACCACACTACAATGAGTTTTATTTTTCATTCTCTGCTGAGATGTAGCGGGTGGTTTGTGTCTGACCCAGCAATAACCAAATGCTGATTTGTCTTTGAGCATATACCTGTATATGGCATTGCCAGTAACCAAATCCTGTTAGCTCACCTGCTATAGATAGGTAATGTTAAACAGCATTTATAATCAGTCCTGCACCTTACATTTAACTCTAGTGATATTTAAAATGTACTCTTAATCGTCTTCATTTTTATAATTGTGATACTGTGTTACTCGTGGCACGTTGCGTCAGGGTGGAAGGACATATGAGAAGCTGTGTTGTGTGGAGTGTTGTGTGGAGAGTCTGCTGTGCAATGCAGCGTGTGGTGTTTGTAATAGTGTGTTCGTGTGTGTGTGAGAGAAGCAGAGGGTTGAACTGAGAGTCCACAGATTTGTGTTCATCTAATCAACACTCGCGCTTCCTCAAGTCAGGAGATGGACAAATGTGTTGACTCACATCTTTTGCTTACATTAAGCAAGCACGCTCCTCTCCTGTAGATCCGGCTTTGAGATGGTATGGCACTTTTTAGTGACTTGTCAGTAAAACCTAATGTACTCAGACCTACAGTATATTTGTAGGTTTAAGCATAATATTAATGTTAACTTTCCCAACTAAACCTGATCTGTGTAATTAGTATGCAGAATACCAATAGCGTAGGAATAATAATATTCACAAAAGGCTGCTTACATAGCTGAATTAAATGTGCACATTTCATCTCGATGTAACTCATATTGTGAATTGATAAACACTACATTATATTCCGATGTCTAAATTTCTTTGAGCGCGCTGACAGTCGTTGCATTTGGCAGAGCAACAGAGCTCATCATTAAAAGGGCTCTTTACTATTTTATCCCTGTAATAAATTAGTGACTTTTTAAAAGATTTCTGTAAAAGCAAAACAGATAATGCAGTGTAACCTCCCTAAAAGATCTGTGGTTTTCATAGCACCTTTGACAGTGGTTTGTCATACATTCACTGGTGTAGTAGCCTTTAATTTCAGGAAATGTGTGTGAGTTAAATGAGGACACTGATACCACTCAAATATGTATTCATCAGATATGAACCTATATTTCTCAGTCTTTCTTAGAGAGCAGCAGTTATCTCAACTCTGACAAAAGATCAGAAACGTCCACCTACCAGGGATCCATACAAAGAAGGTGTAAAAATGAGAATTTGAGATGTAACAGGGAGTTATAACTTGACAATAGTAAGATAAATGATGTTAAATGCTGATCATTATGCTAAACTAAGTAGATTTATGTTTATTATAAAATCATGACAGTGGTATCAATCTTTTTATTTAACTCTTAGCCAGAAGAGAGTAGTTGCCAGAATGTCAAACCTTTAAACCAGTGGTTTGTAGATGCTCAACAAAGTTGAGAACATGCAGTACGTACCACTGATATAAGGCTGTGACTGTACAGTACAGTTGATTGTCATCAATCTATAGAATGCTTGACAGTAAAAAGTTTCTTGAATGAATAGTTTTGGGAAATACCCTTTTTGTATCTGTGCATTAAATTTGAAGTAACATTCAGCAGCTGCTTAGTTTAGCTTTGGTTCAAAGACTGGAAATGGAGGGAAGCAGTTTTTGACTTTACATGAGGATGCAGTATGTGCTTGACTATTTCTTCATCGGACACAGTGACACCCCAGAGTCTTAAATCTAACACTGGTTAACAAGTAATGTTGGTGAGCATTAGAGGTGCTATTTCCCATTTCCAGTCCAAAGCTAAACTAAACATTTGTGACAGTAGCTGTAGCTCAATATTTATCAAACATCTCATGTAATTTTGGACAAGAAAACAATTAAGGGTATTTCTCAAAATGTAAAATTATTCTGGCATTTCCCTTTTCAAAAGTCTCTGTGCACTATCGATGCACCCCGGTTCACTTTATCTAGCCTATGTCTAATGTTAATGTAGCATTAACCTGTAAATATGGTTAAGATGTTTCTTTCTGTGATTAATTCCCCATGTTTACATTCAGAGAGTCAGTTGAAAGTGTCCCCACATGTCTTGGCTGGCACTGGCAGGAGTTTGAATTTGTGGATTAAGCTTTTGTAAATGTAATAAGCTATTTAATTTGAAAAACATATTGAAGCACCTTGGTGTGGTCTTATGTCTTAGCTCTCCCCAGTCAGACTACATGTGATTGTTCTTTGATAATGGTACATTTTAATTTGAGTGTCAAACACATTTTGTATTTTGAGTTGTCCACTTCAAGAGCCTTTAAATGAAAAATGCTGGCTGACTATATTCTGGCAGTCATACTTCCAGCTTAGCCTTATTTTGACAGTGAGCTCCAGCTACAATTACAGACATTTGGAGCGGTTTTAGGCGATAGCTGCCAAACATTTTATACAACTTAAGATTTAATCTGATCATTAGTAGACAGGGACAACAGAAAGGAACAAAGGCAGCCTGTCACACAAATATAAGGACTGTTGCTCTGTTGTGGCAACCAGTGGTGGAATGTAACTTAGTACATTTATTCAAGTACTGTATGCAGATTCTTCTGATCAAGTGAAAACCATGTACAGTATCTCCAAATTAGGTGATTTTGAATTTAGACTTTTTTGATAAACAGTGTTCTTTTATATGTTGTATAAATTCTTATACTTTGTAAAAAAAAACCCCAAATCACAGCCAGGGCAACTAAGGAGTGGCTACTGTATGCAGATTCTTCTGATCAAGTGAAAACCATGTACAGTATCTCCAAATTAGGTGATTTTGAATTTAGACTTTTTTGATAAACAGTGTTCTTTTATATGTTGTATAAATTCTTATACTTTGTAAAAAAAACATCATTTGGATTAGCTGAAAAAAATGTATTGTCACCAAACTGAAAATAGGGCTGTCACACATCTCTGACAGTCTTATGTAATATGTTGTGTTACTGTACATTAAGCTACCCAGTAGTAAAAATTAGCTCTGTCTTAAACAACTACAGCATCAAATGTAATAGACACGTTAATGAGTCATTTTAATTTGGATATATTTTTGTACTTTTACTTAAGTAAGGCTTTAAATCCAGAACTTACAGTGGGGCAAATAATTATTTGATGCACTGCCGATTTTCCAAGTTTTCCCACTTACAGAGAATGGACAGTTCTATAATTTTTATTGTAGGTACACCTCAACTGTGAGAGACAGAATCTACAAAAAATTCCAGTAAATCACATTGTTAGATTTTTAAATAATTTATTTCCATTTTATTGCATGAAATAAGTATTTGATCACCTACCAACCAGCAAGAATTCTGGCTCTCACAGACCTGTTAGTTTGTCTTTAAGAAGCCCTCCTATCCTCCACTCATTGCCTGTATTAATTGCACCTGTTTGAACT